TGCAAAGACCATCGATGACTGTGTTATAGATCACAACATTTGGCTCTATTTTCCCTTGTTCCATCTTCTTGAGCAGATTTAAAGCGAAATCAGTANCACCTCTCTTACATANTCCNTTTATTACCACACCATAAGTAACTAAACTCGGATGACAGCCTTTTCTAACCATTCTGTCAACTAAAGCCAGCGCATCTGAAGCTTTGTTGTTGACGAAAAGTCCATGGATTAGAGTCGTAAATATGATGGTATCGGGTTTAAATCCCATTTCCACCATTTGATCAACTAGAGCTACAGCCTCAGAAATCCTATTACCATGGCAATATCCGTTGAGCAGCGAAGCAAGCGTTACAATACTGGGCTCATAGCCGAGTTTCATCATCTTCCCAAGAATAGCTAAAGCATGAGAGAGTTGAGAACGACGACAAAAACAGTTAATGAAAATACTGTAAGTATAGAGATCATGTGCAATTCCCAAAATTTGCATCTTCTCACCCATTGAGATGACTACATCATACTTCTTCATCTTCGCAATAGAACTCAACAATCTACTGAAATCGACAATGGAAGGTAAAGGACGAGACTTTACCATATCACTGAACAGATCAATAGCATCATCTAACTCAATATCATGTAGAAACCCATCTCTAATCTTCTCTCTGTAACCATAACTAGCTCCAGAAAAAACTCGGTTCAAGCAACAGATTCGAGGATTACCTTTCCCGTTGAGATTCCGACGAACAAATCTCTTCGCCGTCGATGAAAGGGCGATGGAAATCGATCTCATCAGTATCTTCTCCGATTGATTTGTATTCCCGAACTCAATCTCAGGAGCTTTAGCTCTACAAATTACACGAAACCGAGCTATAGAAACCGGTTGAGTTCCGGTTTAATATGGTTTAGTAATAATTGCACTTTAGCCGCTGATTACATTTTCGATTAATAATTAATGGGACTTTGCTAAATTTGGATAAATTGACACATACAATGTCCCAATACAATTTTATAGTCATAGGTTTGTTCCATTAGAAATTAGTTTCAAAAAAATCCATTTTTAACCTTGATTAATATAAAAAAAAACGTTTTTTGTTCATTTTTAATATTTTAGAAACAAAATAGAAAATAAAATTTTAAAAGAAGAAATAACTTATTTATTCTTCTATTTTTACAGTTTCAAAAAAAATCTTTTTTAACCTTAGCTAATATTACCAAAAATTTTCTTTGTTGATTTTTAAATATTTTAC